ATAAGGCAGGTAGCAAGTATTATTTCACTTGCAAGTACTGAAATTTAGACCATGCTGAGATGCCAAGGGCCCCAGGTCACACCACACTGTTTACATAAGCTTGGGAAAAAATGTTTGCAGTCATTTTGGTGGGACAGTTCAATGTTTTGGATCTATTTTCCTTGAGAGTGTGAATTGGCCCATCAATCACATTGGTTTAAGAGTAGACTTAAGATTCTGATTAGAAGGCTTTGGAATATAGCTCAGTGCTGGAGTTCTTGCCTACTGTGTCCAAAGTTTATCACTGGAAGTAAAAAAAATAAAAATAAAGACGAAGGCAGGGATGATTGCTATCAGAAAAACCAGGTTTAGATGAACTCAGCCTCCTTCACATTTACGATTTGGGAAGGCTTCCTTTAAAAGGGATTTTAAAGTACAGTTTCATATAAGCCTTTTACTGGACAGCAGAGCCAGACAGCAGAGCCAGACATCAATGGTATCTGGAGTGAGTACATCCACGTAATGATGCCAAAGAACTAACTTGAAGATCGTGCTCCATGCCCACCTGGACATTCACAGTGTATGGGAGGCTTGCTGGCTTGAGTAGGAAAATGTTGCTAATTCAAACATGCATTTCATCTTAAATAGTCCAGAGGGATTTTTCGTACAAATAAACTTTTAAAACTAGTTAAATAATCACTCCCGCCATAGGATCTTACTCTTTGAAGTCAGGCTGGCTGGCTTCAAATTTCTGGCCCTCCTACTTCAGTCTCCTGAGTGCTGTGCTACCGTGCCTAGATTTAAAATAAACCTCAAATGTAAGTATAAGGTACATGTAAAAAAGCTCAGTATGTGAATGTATGTAGTCTGTGGGATTTTCATATAATAAACACACACACACATACACACACACCAACCACTGCTATGAAGAAACAAGCTTCCTCGTACCTGGCTCACCACTGTTCTCTAGCTACCCCCAGATGACCAACACCCCAATTTCTGCCACCAGTGATTGCTTTTGCCCATTTTGCATTGTTTCTAAGTGGAGTACGGCATTATTCCTTTGTCTGGCTTCTTGGACTCCGTGTTACCAATCCCTGCTTCTGATGTTGTATATTGTGGAGGTTTACTCAGGTTTGCTGTCCTGTGGGATGGCACTGTACTGTGGCAGACTGCAGTCAGTGTGAATCCACATCCATCCATGAGGAGCTTCCGTATCATCTCCCGGATTGGCCGCTCTGTTCTTTTCCTCTAGGATTGTGGGTAGTAAATAGTTCACGTTCAATTCCAAGTGGTTTTTATATGCTAATTGGGTCCTTTGAATATCATCTCGTATAAAGTGTGTACCTTTCATGTTTTGTTTTTCTTTTCTTTGGGGGCTTTTAAGTTTTAAAATGACTCATAGGAATTCAAAAATATGCAATGTTCCTGAGAACTTCATTGGATATGCGTGAGGCAGATACATTCTCCTAAACTTTGAAGGTGAAGGCTTTTAAAGAAGGGTCAAGAATTCAGAACATAGAATATGCTCCCTTTGGTTCTTAAGAAAGATGATATTTGAATATAGGTAAAGGGACCCAGATCTTGACACCTTTAAATTTGTTACAACTTTCTTGCAGCAGGATTATAAAATCAGCTGGGTGTGCTTGGGAAGCTAAGATCCCTTCTGAAAGTCATGTTGAAAACTAATCCCCTCCAGAGCCCAGGGGTTGAGAGGCAAGAGGATGAAGAAGTTGGAAGGCTTTGGAGAAATGATGGGGCCAGCAGGGCTTCTTCCTTGTTAATGAATTTACAGCCCTTCTGAAACATGCTTCCTGAGCAGATGGCAAGAGAGCTCTCCCATATTTTGCTTTGTGAGGGCATAGCAAGAAGTTCTTCACCAGGCCAAATGTAGGCAAAGCACTCTTGGACATCCCCATCCTCCAGAGCTACAAGAAATAACTTTCTGTTCTCTATAAATCGCCTAGTCTTGGGCAATTCTATTTTAGTGTGACAAAGTGTACCCAGACAGACTTTCAGATGACAGATCACTTAAGAGAGATTTTGACAGAGATTGGAAATAGACGGTTAATCTGAGTTAAATGAATGGCACAGAAGGATTAAGCACTATATACAACAGGAGCAAAAGACAGGAACATCTCTGGCGAATAGAGAAGAGCTCAGGTCTTGAGGAGCACAGAATACAAGGAGGAGTGTGGGATAAGCAGCTGTGAGGCCGAGCCTGTGTCCATCTGAAGCCACTTCTTTGGAAGTCTGTAAGCCCTGGTTGAGGAGAAGACTTAATGAAGCATGTTGTTAGCTACCAGGGCTCATTCTCCCCAGTAGAAGACTTGGAGCCTCAACAGTCTTCTTACTCTTTGCTTCCTTAGTCAGAGTTTGCTCCTGGCATGTGGTGGCAGAGGTCAGGGAGAGGCAGCATGAGCAGATTCATTTTTAGCTTTTGTGCTAAGGGCGTGTAGACTCCAAGGGCTTCCTGCCAACAGGAGGTCTAAGACATGCTGTCTGTTGAGTGCTATGCTTGGGATGAGTCCCAAGTTCAGGGTAGGAGGTAGGGACGGGAATTCCTTTCTGACCCCAGGACACAATCAATTTATGCTCAGGGTCCTGGAATTTAATTACCCGTCTTGTCTCAGCTTGCATAGCTGCAACAGCGGCTCATAGTTACAAAAGTGTCTGCTTCTTTACAATCCAGCGGCAGCCACAGCCGGGTCCGCCCCCCTCCCTGAACAGTGATTAATTGGGAAGGGTGGGAACTGGGGAAATCCTTTCCCCTCCCTTCAGTCCTGCCAGCTTGGCTTTGAACCCGCAAGAGTATTTTGAACAAAGATCATGTTTCTTTGCACCCGCTCCCTTCTCTCTCACCCTCAGCTCTTCCCTGATTTGTACATTCTCTTTGGCACACTGGTGTGTACATTGTGACCCCTGTCTTCCTATGTGCTCCTTTAGGCTTCTGTGTGATTTATTTCTCCTTCTTTGAGATTTTGACCATGAAATTAGCAGCCTTTTGTTCTAAGGTTTGTGGAGAGACTCTTCCATTGTTCGTCTCAGGATGTAAATGTGATTTTCTATTTTTCTTAAAATGAAAAGAAGATAAGCTGGATCCTTTGAGTTGAATGAGCATCTAAGTGTTACAGAACAGTAACACATAGATTGCTTTGCTTGGGGCTTCATTTTCTGTATATGTTGGCAAGATGCATTCAGAGTATTGGATAACACAATGGTTTGTTTAATGGCCTTTCTATATTCATGTTAGTGAGCTTTTCATTATCATGACTAAATTCCTGAGAAAGTAACTTGGAATAAGAAAATATTTATTTTAGGTCAAAGTTTTAAAAGTCTCAGTTCAGGCTGGCTAGAGCCATTGTTTTGGGCCTGGAGTGAAGCAGAATATCATGACAGCAGGAATATGTGGTAGTGGCTGCCATGAGGGCCAGGAAGCAGGCTAATGATGTGGCTCCCAAAACCTGAGCCACGTGACCTTCTTCCTCCATCTTGGATTCATATTACATCATAACCAGTATAACCTCTTCATCTCTGGAGACACTTTCCTATCCTGCCCAAAGGCATGCTTCCTTCATCTTCTAGGTGTCTCTTAATCTAATCAAGTTGACAACTAACTTTAGCTATCTCAATATCATAAGTTGTGTGTCCATTCCCCTAGGACACTTATTTATATTGTTCCCATTATTTTAAATGGTGATTGATCAGTCTTGTCAAATCTGGGTTGTACTCTGTTGAGTAACACCACACCCTGGAGTCTTCAGGCAATAGTTCTAAAAGAAATTTGATTGTAGAAAGTTTGTTTCTTTCTACCTTGAAGATTAAAGTTGCATCCACAATCAATATTATGTCAGTTGAGTTTCTACTACTGTAACAAAATACCTGTGGTAATCAACTTAGAATGAAGACAAGTTTGTTCTGGATTTAGAGGCTTCATTCCATAGTTGCTGGCCCTCGGTGCCTTTGGGACTATAGTGATGTAGTCTGTATCAGTGAGAGCACAGGGTTCAGAAACTGATCACCTCATGAGAGGTCAAAAAGAGAGACAGAGGAGGTCAACATCCTGCAGTCCATTTCAGGGTGTGTCCTCAGTGACCCCACACCTCCCACTGAGTGTTACTTAATGTTTTTCACAGTGTTTAATCGTGCAAGGTGTAACATGTGGGCACTTAGGGAACATGCCATAGGGATATATCTAAACTGTAGCCAAGGGACAGTGAGGAAAGAGGTCAGACAGAGAGATACATCTGACTAATGAAGACACATAAAAGGCCTCAGCCAACACCCAAGGAACCCTAAAATGGCTTCACAGAGTTGTACCAAAATGAGGAAGAATGACAGACCTTTGACTGTTCCACACAGGCTCGTTGCTAATTGGGCTGATCTAACAGTGGCCCTTTGACTTTGAGTGAGACATGTCTTATTGAAAGAAAACCATGTTTGTGACCTGGAAGCCATTGACATTCCTAAATGCTGTCAAATGAAGATTCCAGCCATAAAATATCTAGCAGTATGTGTGTGTGTGTGTGTGTGTGTGTGTGTACATTGCGTGTGCATGTGCACAGTATAGGTTGATCATGTGACCATGAGCAGTGAACCATACTGTCTACTACGTATCATTTCTAGAGTTGAATTACTGTTTCATAGGGTATAGGCAGATTCATGCTGAGTAAATGTTGTCAAACAACTCCTAACTGTCTGTGCACAAATGCTGTCTGAATTCAGATTCCCTTGTCTTCGGCAGACTCTTAGCAAAAAGAGAAAGAACATTTATGGGGATATTGATATTAGAACAGTTCATACACTGACTTTGTACATTTTGCATTATAGAGAAAACAAAGTTGAGCGAACTGAAATATTCTACTTACTTGCTAACACACAACTTAGAAACTGTCAACAGCTATTCAAGATGTTCTGAGATGTAGTTAGGGGACAAGCAGATCATAGGACTTCCTGTTGAGCTGAGGAACTAAGGAAATCAGGCATGTGAATTGATAGTTGTCTCAAATTTCGTTTTTCAGAGTGGCTAAATCAATGAAGGTCCCTGTGTATGAGACCCCTGCTGGATGGAGATTCTTCTCAAATCTGATGGATTCCGGACGATGCTCTCTGTGTGGCGAGGAGAGCTTCGGCACTGGTAGGCTCAGCTGGGCTGATGTTACTGCCGAGGGCGGCTGAAATTCCGCAGACCCACTGGAGACTTATAAATAATCTTCCTTGTGCATCAAAGGCTGCCGGAAGAATTACTTAGAAGCCAAAAATTTAAAAATAAAAAACTATAGAAACCCATTAGGATGCATGTAGTGATACAATCACATCTTTTGGGTCTCTTTAAAGATATCCTTTTCTTTAAAAAGAAGAAGTTCATTTGAAAATGATAAATGTAGACAGAATATCATATTAATCACACCATTCAATTTTAAGGGACAGTATTTTTATTATTATTTGATAATAATTTTATTTTGCAGTACTGAGGACTAAACTTTGTCAGACCTTTTAAATTTTACTTGAGATAGAGTCTCACTATACAAATCAGCTTTGAACATGTGGTTTTGGCCTCCTAGTAGCTAGGATTATAGGTGTGCTTCAATATGTTGCATGTTGCTTTTTTTTTTTTAATTTTGTTTTTCAAGACAGGGTTTCTATGTGTTGCCCTGACTGTCCTGAAACTGGCTCTGTAGACTCACAGAACTCTGTAGAACTTTCATCTTCCTACCATTAACTTTTGAATGTTTGGCAAGTCCCACCATGCCCCTCCCTCTCTTTTTAAAGTTAATCACCAACATGGATTTCTCTACTTTCTCCAAAAAATAAGTTACCTTTCCTGATTATTAGGAAACAACATTTTCCCACCCCCACAAAGCTCATCTTGTTATTCCTGAATATTTTAGTGGGAATTTTCAAACATAAAACTTCACTGGAAACAGCATATAACCATGGTGCCATTGTCACAGTTTAAAATTCCTTCTTTTAGAACCTTAAGAGGTCACTCCAGTGCTTTGCATTTTTCTACGAATTCTGTTATAATTTGTGTCTTTATTCTCCTACATACAGTCCTATACGTATGGCTGCCTTCATTTTAATTTTTGTTTTATTTTCAATCTTTATATCTATCTATTCAGTTTCCAATGTGATGATACGTTTATTGAAGGAACTCTGATGTTGTAAGATGTCTTGTTTTTGGAGATAGAGCCTCACTATGTAAGTCAAGCTGACCTTGAACTCCCAATCTTTCTGGTTCTGCCTCTCAAGTATTGGGATGGTCAGTGTGTGCCAGCATATCTAACTCTGCCTTTTATTTGTATAATTTACCTTTACTTTATAATAGTTTCCCTATCCCCAGGATAAGTGCCTTCTTCTCCATTAGATTTGGCTGACACCAGGGCCATATCTGGCTCTAGTTCTATTGATTGTTTTACCACTTGACAGTTATTTGCTTTTTCTTGCTTTTTGTGGATCTCATAATCTTTAATCCAAAGTATGTGGATATAAATGGTATATATGTAGGCAAATAGTACTTGAGTCCAGAAGATGGCACAGCTCTTCCTTTAGGTCAATTAATATGGAAGGTTAAGTTTATTGGATTTGGGCTTTATTGTTTACATTATAAACTTTAGTGTACCATAGGCCTGAAATTGTTCTAGAGGTAGGATACTTTACTCTGGAGGGTGAGAAGCCGCAGGGAGTTTGCTTGTGTTTCTTGCTTGCTTGCTTCTTTATTTTAAATGCTCTGTTTTCATTCTCAGCATGTAGCAGTCACTTCATGCCTGAAACACAAGCAGTGCTCTCTCACCACACAGTGCCTTTTGCGTAGCATTGATGGATGAGTCTTGAGTCCAGGAAGGCTGCTGCTCTCTCCATAGGAGTAGATGAATCTTTACCCTTGTTCCTCACACAGCAAGATAACTCTTCTCCTGAACACTTAGGGTGAGGAGTGAGGTTTTCAACCCGTTTCATATGAGAGGAGGACCCAGGACTTGATGCAGCCCATCCTATGTGTTTATACCACCATGTCTCCCTCTATCCTGGGTCTTCTGAATCTATCCGAAAAGCCTGGAGCACAGAACTTGGAAGTGTTTCCTCTTATCGCTGGGGATCAAGTGATTTTTAACAACACCATACCCTAATACCCTACACTTGCTTTGTTCAGCAATTTGTAAACTCCCAGTGACTTCTGAACATTTATCAGCTCCCCCTTTCTCCTTAGTCCTCAAAGGTGAGACCAATGTCCTGTTCTCTCTTTGCTGAATGGCTTGTTGCTATTTAGAATCCTCTCTTTTCCTTGTGGTGGCAGATCTCTAAGGAGTTCAGGAAAATTCTGTAGGTTTCCTGGCCTTTCTCATTGGTAAGATTTTTTTTTAAAAGACTTTTCTTTTATAGACTTCTCTACAATCAGAGTGCAAAAATAGAACTGCAAAAGCTATTTCTTAATAAGTTCCTCTGTTATCTGATTTAGTCCCCATTCGATAGTTTTCTCCTATTAGGAACCAAAAGATCGTAGAGTGTAACTGATTAATTCATTTCTTAAGTTTCTTTTAGCATCAGGGGAAATGTTTGCAAGTATTCACTCAGGGCTTTGCATGTGTTAGGCTAAGGCTGTGACACTTAGCCCCACCTCAACCTAGAAGTCTTTTAAAATTTGTGTTGCATGTTCTGTTGAGCTTTGCATATTTGAAATTTTCACATTCTTATCCACATTTTTTTCCAAGTCAATCAGTGCTTACCCAGAAAAGTGTGGCTATTTTTACTAATATTATTTTAGCAATTCTGTTATTAACCTTAGTGCTTTAGTTTCCAAAAACTGCATATTATCATAGGTTTTTTTTTTTTCTGGTACTCGGTCAAATGTATAATCATTTTTTGGTGTTTTTCTTCCCAATACTGATACCTTTTTGTTTTATATTATCTTATTACATAATTACCATCCTCAGAATTGTAGTCAATAACAAGTAGTTTTCATAATTTAATATTTAGCAACTATTTTTACCAATACTTTTTCATTTGTAAAATTGCTAGCATGCGTTAGGTGATTTTTTTTTCTATTTATGTTTCACGTTGTGCTTCCTTAAGAAAGGCTACTGGATTTACCAGGCACATTATTAAAACTTAGTGATGTAGTAACATGTCCTATCCCCTCTTTATTTTGTAAATGTAATGAAAACTACTGATCTCCCCATATCAAATTATATTTGAATTGCTAAGAATAAGTCCCATTTGGCAACGCTGAAACAGATTGCAGTAAAGCCACTTTAAATGGTCATAATGGCAGTCTTATAGGCCAAATTCATAAAGAAACCTTTCTCTTAGGATATTTTCTTCTCTTGTCAAAACAAACTATACCCCAGTAGAATTACTGTTAACATCTCAGGAAGGCTACTATGTTCTTAGACAGAAAGAGACCATAGCAAACTTTCTCAAATATGACTGTCTGGACACAAATGGGTTGCTGACAATTCTGCCCGGTAGACTCATGGCTGTTAAGTCCTTCTCTGTCGCAGCCTAACAAATAGAATTCTTCTCTTACTCCTCTAGTGTCCTGTGTGCTTCTATCAGAGACCATGATACAAAAAAGATCAGAAATCTTATGTCACATGTAGTAATTCTGCTCAGTTGCTAGTAAAATAGCACAAATACAGCAACTGGAGAGAAAACTGTGGCATCCCAGCAATCCCTTCTCCTCTATTTTCATACACATTTACAGAATGTTTACAATGTACCTTGTGCTCTATAACTTCTTTATAATTAAGAGGACAAAATATTACATAGATAAGCTATGCTGTACCTTTATGTGATAGCTAGTTTCTGTCAACTTGACACAAACCTAGAGTCATCTGGGAAGAAGAAACCTTAACTGAAGAATTGCTTTGGTCATATTGGCCTGTAGATGTATCTGAGGAGCATTTTGTTGATGGCTTATTGATGTAGGAGGTCCTAATCCACTGTGGGTGGTGCCATCCCTATGCAGATGAGCCTTGGATGTAGAAGAAAGGAGTTAAAGTGATCAATAAGTAGTGTTTTCTGTGGCCTCTACTTCAGTTTCTGCCTCTAGGTCCCTATATTGAGTATTTGCCCTGACTCCCTCAGTGATGGATTAGGACCTGGAGGTTGTAAAATGAATAAATCCTATCTCTCTTAAGTTGATTTTTGGTCAGTATTTTATCACCACAATAGAGAGACAACTAGGACAGCTTATTAATACATATTTCAACTTAATAAACATTTATTAATTGTTTCCAAATTATAAAACATCATATTGGATGATCTGTTGAATATAAAGTGATGAATATCATATCCTTTAGGTTAATAAGATGTCTACAAGGCCTTTGCAGGCCATAGAGAGGCATGGAAGATGTATTTTAGAAGACAAGAGAAGGAGAAAATGCATTAGACTGGAAGTTTAAAGCATGCTTTTTGAAATAGATGGAAGGTGAGCTTGTTCTTGAAGTTTGGGGAGGATTTTTAAACATAGACATAAAAGACCAAGACCCTGCTGGATGGTGTAATGTCAGAAAGCCAATGAAGAACAGGACATGTTTTGCAAGTAGTCAATTTTCCTCTTGTCTAGAGTGGTATTTTTAAAATATGGACCATGAGATTAATATAATATCATCAATTGCTTTAAGGAATAGAAAATGTGAGAAAGCAAGGCAGTTCAGATGTTGCTTGACAAAATCTCTGTGTGTATGTGAGTGTACACATGCACATGTATTTTCTCTTGGTAAACTGTCCTTATTGTAGATCATGGTGAAAATATCTGAGAGCATCTTTGGCAAGAATCACAAAACGTTCCTTAAAAGGCAAGATAGTAAATATTTTTAGACTCTACCAGCCATAAGGCCTTATGGGGTCCCTGTTGAAACTACTCTGCCGTATGACCATAGCACAAAGCAGCCACAGATAATGAATTAACAAACCAGCATGGTTATCTTCCTATAAAGTGTTAGTCATGGACACAAGCATGAATCCCAAGTTCCCCTCAAGGGCCGAGTTCGCCCATTTGCTACCCCTGCTCATGGAGTCAGGTAGAGGAGAGAGTTTCTAGAGACAGGACTGGAAGTATCATGAGAAAGGAGTGTCTGAAGCCTATATTGTCTTAGATGTTGAGCACCAAGCAGATGCCTCTCAGCTAGCTAGCAG